GGGATCGTTTTGATTTCAGGGCTAGGATGTTTGGCTAGCTGTTTTCTCCTCTGTACTACCTCATCTGTCCTAGTGGACTTTCGTGACGTTTAGGATAGTTTTGCTTCTACTTCTTGAGGTGATACTAGATCCCAAAATATTTTATTGCGTTCTCCGGAAATTTGAAGGATTCGAATCAGGGGCGCATTTAGGGGGGGGTACCCCTCCCTTGGTGATTGGACCCCCTGCCGACCCAAAGGGTCCCACCTCTGTACTATTTTGAGATATCCATTTTTGGCGACGGACCCTAAAATTTTTCTCTAGGCGCCTTTGGCGTCAATATATACTAGTTATGAGGGGGGGAGCGCGCGCCGAAAAAACGTGATTTTTGGTCAAAATTTTCCAAAAAGTGCCTGAAAACGCTTTTTTGGCCTGTTTTTTAAAATTTCGCCTGCGCCGCAGAAAATTTGGCCAAAATAGGGACAAAACACTGCTTTGAGAGAGCTCGAAAAATCAATTAGTCTTTTTAGTCCTTAAGATATCCCAGTGATGAAAAATCAGGTGGCATAGTAAAAACTTGCGAGGCAAAAAAGATTTTAAACAGAGCGAAATCTAATACTTACGTCTCAATATCTGCCTGGATATTGAGTAAAAAAACATTATACTCGTTTTTCCGATTTAGGCTTGTTTTATGCAACTGCAGATAAAAAAAGCCGTTGTTCATTAATAAAAAATTTATATTTTTTTTCTCATAAAATTCAATCCGAATCAAGAGATAAACTTTTAAGTGTGGTATTACATTCTTCCTGGAGTGGGCTTTTCTGTTGCCTGGATATTGAGATATATTACATAATCTTTATTCTAATTAACCCTCAATAGATATAACGGCTCTTTTTCGCAGGTAAAAATTCTTATTCAAGTAATTTTTAAGAATTCACAAGTGGGGGAGGGAGGAGCCGATATTACATGATTCTTATATAATCGCAACCCTGCATGAGGCTTTCATTATACTGGCATTGTATCATTGATTGACCCTTAAAAATTAGTTGTCCAATACAATTTGGATTAGTCTGGCGGGGATATTGCAAAAAGAGAATTCTTATAAATAGTTTTTAATCAGAACTTTAGTATTTTTTGAAAGTCCGCCCCCTCTCGAGAAAATCCTAGATCCGCCCCTGATTCGAATTCACCTAAAACTGGAGGGAGTCATGGTGTTGACGTTAACTGAATATTTTTTACAGTTATTGAAATTTATCCTCAAAAACTGTTTGTACTGTGACCTCAATTTATTTTGTTTTTATCAGAGGTTCAAATATTATCATGGTTGCACACTTTCCTACGATGCAAAAGGCCTAATAAAAACGCAGCTTTTTTCCTACACGAAGTGTCCCTTGGCCCATTTGAGCTCATCTTCCGAACCAGTTCATTTTCCATGTTCAATAGCATTGCTCGTAAGTATTAGATTTCGCTCTGTTTAAAATCTTTTTTGCCTCGCAAGTTTTTACTATGCCACCTGGTTTTTCATCACTGGGATATCTTAAGGTCATCATTTAAAATTTCTACGAGCGCCAAATTCATGTTGCTGGGTGTGACTCCAAAGAGTCGGGTGAACTTTTTGATGTCTAAATGTTGGAAGCAGAGTTCTGGAGGTTTTCCTGATAACAAAGCTGTAACAGTGAAAAAATGGGGAGAACTAAGACACATGCGAAACGTCAAATTTTAATCAAAACTTTGGAACAAAAACGAAATTAGTTGTCTTAAGAGGCCCAGTTAGTACTCCAGAGGTAAAAAAAAGTATACATTTAGGATGACTTTGAAAGTGAAAAGTTCATCTAAGTAAGTACCCGGGTCTTGGTCCTGGTTTTATGTTCAGACCAACTTTTTGCAGACTTGTTTAGATTTTGCAGACTTTAGACTGCGTAGCGACTGTGAATTTTCAGTTCTAACGCGGATCGATTCAGACTCATCAAGACTACTGAATATAAAACCGCGATCTCGACCGCTTGCCCTTAAAAGTAACTTACCGCTGAAAAATTTATTGAAGAAGCAACATAAAATGAATGACGAGAAGCGATGTAATTTCGACCTAGGCTAGTAAAAGTTGCAAGAGAGCTGAAGGAGCGACCTAACAGCAAACGATTCAGCTGCATGTAATGATTGTTTCAAGCAAATCATTCACAGTTCCACAATGAGTAAAGACACTCTTTTCGCTTACTTGGTATTTGTTTTTGTCAACTCTTTCAGGTACTTATACTTTCTGATCAAGTGTTTCTGGTCAAAAACTGGTTAAAATTATCGAATGGCAAAATTTTTCATCGGAACTGCATTAAAGATAAAGTTTCGCCCGAAAAATTTGGATTAAAAATTGCCTGAAAAGTTTAATTGTCAGAAAACATTGCCAGAAAAAACTTTTGCTGATGTTCTTGCTGTTGATTTGGAATGTCCCGAATGTTCGAACTGCTCTTTATTTGGTTAGCAGATTTTTTTTTGGTTAAAGATGATTAAATCCAAAAAAAATGATTTCTTGTAAATCTTCGCCAAGTATATCATTATAAATTTCTCACTTAGTAAAAAAAATTTGAATGACTGAATTGGCCTGAAACGCAAATTGGAACAAGACTGCTCGTATCAGGGCGAAGCCCTGAATGTTCCGACTGCCTTCAAGGTTTATGGAGCAACAGTATTAACATAAAAAAATTAAATAAAACAAAACGAAAATTTTTTTTCTAAAATTTGAAATTTTTTATGAAAATCTTTTCCCCACACGCCATATAAAGTACAAAAAGAGAGATTTAGTTCCTTGTAACAAATCAAATATGGCAAATAAGCTTCGTTCAACCAATTTGGAACGATTTATAAGACGGATTAACTCTCCGCTTACGCGTTAATAGCGCGAATTATATCGCGCGTTAATTGTCCCAAATTGGTCAAAATGGCAATCTTTAAACCCTCATAACTTTACGAAAAATGATCACAGGTGAAATATCTTTTCAAATTTGAGCTCAGGACAACAATACCTTTTGAATGATATAAAAATATTCCGTCAAAAATGGCTAGTTAAAAAGTCGAAATTTGTCTGAAGAAAAAAAAACCCACCCCGAGCACAAATATTCCGTTACTTTCGTATCGAAAGTCGGAACAAAAAACATTTGCCGTTTTTACTTAGCACTGCAGAATTATTGCACCAGAACCATTTTGATTCGCTCCTGATTTGAGGCAACAATTGGTCGAAAGCGTCAACTGGTCGCAGGCGACACTTGGTAGCATTTGAAAAGACGAGAATTTGTCGATGAGAAATTTCATATTAATTGTTTCAATAATGCGACATAAATTGATTTTGCAACATGCAGCAGCCAAATGACCATACCTAGAGGGGATTTGCGTACATAATGATTTGCTAAGCAAAGTATTCTCATTACAATGCTTTGCAACCAATTATTGTTATGCTAACAAAAAAATAGTAAATAGCGCGCATTAATGACCTTAAATTTATTCCAATCGTTTTCTTTTGGGGTTTATGCTAAAAAAATCAAATTTGCTCTCAAAAAAAGTTTTGCCAAAATAAAGAATATTGTGACGGCAAACAACACGTTTGACAAGTTTTTTGATAAAAAATGCCCCTCCCTTCTATCAAAAAATGCTTGCACCTGCCACTGACTACTGGTTGTGATCACCGGGTGTTTCTCGTATTCTGTTTACCAGTTGTTTCCTAGCCTAGATCAACTTTTGTTGGAGTCCTTATAAATTTAGAAACAAAATTGCAAGTTAAATTTCGTTTTGAAGAGAAACTCGCAAAAATTTCTATAAGAGAGCAAAAATTCATACAACTCCCATAGAAGGAAAAGTTAAGATAGAATTTTTAATCGTATATTTGTTTCCAAAATTTATATGAAATGTGTTTAAATTCAAGATTGTCTGAACAAAACTAAAAGTTTCTCGCAGTTTTCAATCTATTAGAGTAACCTTGGTATTTCAAAAAACTTTTGAGCAAAATAATGCTTAGCATGTTTTCTAAACTTTGAAAGTTGAAATATGCGTTTTTCCGAAGAACGTAATTAAAATTGAAGTCAATATTTTTTCTATTTTTATTCAATTTGCTGATCTCAAATAAACATTTTACGGGAAAAAAAATTGCATGCAAATTTGATATTTCATGTTAAAATGTAGCTCTGGCTGAGTGTTCATATTCACTGCAAAAAAAATCAGGAAATTGCATGCAATTAACTTTTTAAATAAAATTTAGTGTTTTTGCTTTGTATGCTAGGATAACCATTAAGCTGAGAAACAAATGCCACTTTTCTCAATCACTTAGTTATCAAAGTATAAGCTTTCTAGCCATATGAAAACTTATTTTTTTTGTAGAAATTTCTGCGTGAATGTCAAAACATTAGCGTACATTGATCATCATAAGATGCAGTTTATCAAGGCGATAATTGTCACTCATTGAAAATTCTTGGTTTTTTTTTTTATTATTTGGACAAAATCTTAAAACGAAAAGCATTAAAATTTATGAAAAAAATGCTTGGCATACAATTTTATAGTATGGAGAAAATGATTATCGTACAATTTCATAGTATAGAAAAAGTACCTCATGCTAGTTCATACACTTGGAGTGATCAAAAGTGTGGCAATTTTTCTTTTCAAATCCCAAGTGTGAAAAACATATTATTATAAATTTTCATTGTAAAGAAAAAATGCTTACCATGCTATTTTCATTTTTTTTGCGCATGAAACTGTATGAGAAACATTGTTCCATAGTATGAAGTTACCTGATAAGCTTTTTGGTCAACCCGGGTAGCTACTTCATCTTCTTGTTTGAAAGTTGGAACAACAAAACATGGTTCGAACTCTTGTATTAATTCAGCATGAAGATATGTCCATTACATGCCTTAACAGGATAGAGTCTCAATAAAATTGCATTTTGAATGACCTCATTTTGTTCTTGTGGAAATTCTTGTAAATTGGAACCAGTTGGATCGATTGAACATAAACCCGTAGCTGTTTGATAGTCATTGGTAGCTATTACAGATCAGCTATACGTTTTGTGCAAATAAGTGTTGGAACTGAAGTCAGCTATGCTTTTTCAAACACAGACTGTCTTCTGGGAAAGCAAGATAGAAAATCATGGCAAAGCTCCTTTGAATCAGATTGCTTCATTATTGCTTCCAGAGATTGCTTCCAGAGATTGCTTGCAGAGATACCAATTCAACAGTAAACATTCCTTCACTCACTTCTGTTCAATTTGCACCCTGAAGGCATAAAAGTTTGATTATTTGGACAGAATAAGTTTCAGTTTCTGTTCGAGTGACACCTTCGCCTCATTTCACACAGAGGCACACAACACACTTCCGAAGCTCCGATCGGCCGCTAGTTTTATTGATGTGTCAAATAGGTAGAAGCGATATATATGCCACACTAAGCGTAGACAAAACAGACTTTTCAGCCCCACGGAAGTGATGCATCCTAAGGGCTATACTGCTGTGCAGACAGAAGTATTCCTGGTCTAGTTCCACTGGTTTGAGGTCACACTATTGTGTTTTCAGTCTCAGTCCAGAACCATAATTTCACTTGTTTTCACAGTCTCTTAATGCTGAGCGAAATTCGTCAATCGAAATTCATTCGTTTCTTACCGATTTACGGATTCGTTTTCTACTTCTAGCTTATTCCCACTTTTTCCACCGATCATTTTTTTCTTCTTTTTCGAAAAATTTACTTACATTTATTGACGTCTTGGACCCCTTTTATGTTACTTGTACCTTTATTAAACACAAGTGTTGTTTCATACTTATTTTCTAAATATTATAGCGATGGCATATTGGCAATTCGATTTGAGGTAGGAAAGTGTGTAATAGTTGTGGTGTGGTTTTGAGTGGTTAGCCTTTCCAATTCCTCCTCAACTCTCGAAAGAGCGACTTAATCTGCATTCGATTGAGAATCAGCCCCTTATCCTCATAACTCCTTGTTTGATTGACTATTTTGCAACCTCCTCTTTCTAAAAACCACTCGAAACTTCCCTTCTCAGATGTATTCGCTGCTCAGCTGACCTAAACGTCCATTTACTTTCCTTGTTCTGCTCTAAAAACTAGTATCACTGTCCTAAAGGGTCCATTTGTATTTACTAATTGGGCTCCCATATTTTTACTAGGGGAACTTCCCTCCTGTGATTCTTAATTTTTGCCGATAAATAGTTAAATAATTCATTGCATTACAGCAACAATGTCGTCGCCAGATGCGCAGCTAAGCGTGGGTGTATTAGTTAGCAAAGTGCTCGGAACCTGTCTCATCGGTCTCGCGTTCCTCGTCAAGTTCCCTCAAATTCTCAAGATCATCAGGAGCGGGAGTGCGGAGGGACTGAGTCTGTCAGCCGCCGTGCTGGAACTGTTTGCCATGACCTCCAGTGTGTGTTACAACTTCGCACAGGGGTATCCCTTCACAGCCTGGGGGGACACGTTCTTTGTGGGGATGCAAAATGTCGCAATAGTTTACCTCATTTTCCTGTTCCGAGGTCAGATGTCGGAGGGAACCCTGTTCGTCGCCGTGTACCTCCTCGTTCTCTGGTTCCTGGCCGGCAGCGGACTCGTCCCCCTGTGGGTTCTGGCCACTTACCAGATGTGCAACGTGCCTCTCATTCTCTCGGGTAAAATGACCCAGGCGGCGACCAACGTACGCAACGGACACACCGGACAACTGTCCCTGGTCACCATCTCTATTCTGATGCTCGGAAGTCTGGCCAGAGTGTTCACAACACTTAAAGAGACCGGAGACACTTTGGTAACTGTGACGTATGCAATCTCATCCTTTGCCAACTGTCTCCTCTTCCTGCAGGTTTTGTACTACTGGGACGCCACTCAGCGAAGAATAAACCACAGCCGCAGCAGCAGTGGTTCCCAAAACACGAAAGGCCTCTAATCTGAGCTGAACTCATCCGACTCATTCACGAAAAGTCCTTGGTTCCAAATTACTGGGGAAAAGCGAACCAAATCACGCCTTATATAACCTCACCTAAAACGAAGTAGCGGATTTGCAAGCAATTGACAAGAAGCTCCAAGAGCGAAAAACTATACATCGAATGAAATTTATGAATATTTATAAAGAAAAAAATTTAAAAATTTTGAATTATCAATTTTAATTTAGATTGTGGACATATTTTAAAGATACGAACTCCAGAAACTTACGAAAGATACAAATGTACTTAATAATTTTAAAAGAACTTTGCGTCAATCTTACAGTTTTCCAGATCTGCAGAAATCTTAGACTAAACATAACATGCAAAATAATTCTGCTACGCTTTCTCCGGGGAATGTACTTTTTCTATCACTTCTTGGATGTTTATACAAGAAAAGCATGTTTCTAAGCAGGAACCGATCTAGGATTTTCTTGAGGGGGGGAGGGGGCAGATTTCCGAAAATTTTGTCGGTTATTTTAGGTCGACCATATGGATTTTTTGAGCTCTCCCCAAGCCTTAAAAAGACTGAAAAGACTCTGTTTTGGCCAAATTTACTGCGGCTCAGGCAAAATTTTGAAAAAACAAGCCGAAAAAGGTGTTTTTAGCCACTTTTCACAAAAAAAATTCACCAAAAATCACGTTTTTTCGGCGCGCGCACCCCCCTCAAAATAAGTATATATTGGCGCCAGAGGCGCCTTTAGAAAATTTTTGGTCTGTCACCAAAAATGGATATATCAAAATAGTACAAAGGGGGGACCCATTGGGTCGGCAGGGGGTCGAATCCCTGAAGGGGGCGTGCGCCCCCCCCCCTCCCCAAACCCGCACATGTTTCTAAGAGGATTTTGTAACAAGTTAATCAGTTGAATCTCTTCAAGAAGTATCTTTAAACACATGTACTGAACCTTTTGACTTTTTGGATTTTTTTTGAGCTAGCTCGAATCTGAGCCAAGTTTTCAGCGAGGGTGAGTTTTGATGTTTTTTTTTTTTTGGTTTTGTCTGCTATCCTATCCTGATTATCCTTTGTGAAGATTGTTCTTCAAAGCATGTGTTTAGATTGGAGCATGGCCGGCAGCTGTTGTTTTTGTTATTACTATTTTTATTTGCAGCAGCAACTTCTCTTCTGCTGGCTTGTGTCTTGTGTCTTCTGTGGCCCCCCAGGCATGGTTTGAAAGTGGTTGAGAGTAAAGATGACAAGATGTAAAACAACAGCTCACTCATGTTCGCAGAGTGCTCTGTGATTTTAGTTTTATCGTCAGCAGTAAAACTCAAAACGATCGTTTCTTTTCTTTTCTTTTCTTTTCTTTTCTTTTCATCTAATCTTTTCTTTCTCATTCTCTGCAGCCCAATTAGCAGATCAACTGCTCTGCCGCACCAATCAAGTCAATCTCCACTGGCATCGCGGCGACGACCATTAATTAGATTAAGCGAGACAGAGTTGTAATTGTTGTCGTTGTAGCTGTAATCGTCAGTTAAATGCCAGCTCTTTCATTCTACCAGCCAGAGCAGTATTCTCGTCGCCTTGTGTGGTGAAGGAGCTGGTGCCGACGATGATGTTGCTTCTATGATTGCTGGTTCTGAGATGCGATTACAAACATAATGAGCACCACTCTATTGCTAATTCATTATGCCCAATTAGCGGCAGCCGCACATCTCAACTCCTTGCGAGCATATCAGCCACTTACCAACTACAACAAAACAACACAACGCAGAACAGTCCAACAAACCAACAAAAGCACATCAGAGCTCTCTCTGATTGCTCAATTTGCATTATGCCAGCAGCCATTATTACCAATTTTACAATCGCACCAAGTTATAAACACAAGTTAGTTAAACTAACAAGCTCAAAATAATAATCAGAGAATAATTAATCTACATGGCCAATTGTTATACAAGCGATAGGTGAGCTTCAGTAAGTGCTTCGAGAACATCACGTAGCTAAGCTTGATTTGATAACTGAAATCGCGATCAGGTGAAAAGTGTTTCTACAACGAGGAGAATTGACAAAATAAACATCAAACAAACTTTTATATTATCCAATTAATTTGGTTTAGACTGCGTAATGTTAATTTCAGCAGCTACGGGTCAAAAAAGATTAGCCTTCAGGTAGAATGTAGCGTTTGTGAGTCACTCGTAGGAATTTGGCCGATTAGTTCCCTCATCAATCAAAGAACGTCCCCAATTATCATTGCTCTTAGGCCTTGTTCGCTGGCGGACATAGTGACAAAACATTTCTATATTCTTGAACGAGACTGCTCGTATCAGGTCAAAACTTTGAATATTCTGACTGCCCTTAAACTTCGACAAAAAGTTTTTGTACGAAAAATTTTTATAAGAAAAAAATTGAAACTATTGCATTTTTTTTAATTATCTGTCCCTAGCCATGAAAAAATTGATCTCTTACCGGGTTGAACTCAGAGAAAAAAAAATTCCCGACCTTGGCACGGGCAGGTGCAAACAATAAAAACTAAAGGTGATTCTTATCGATTTTTTAGTTTTTATGCTAAATGGCCGTTTATCAACAAAATTATCAAAAATAGCGACATTTTTGAGTTTGGTTAAGTTTGATTTCTTTTTAAGCACGCTACATTGATCACTGAGCTATTTTTTTCAGATTTCTATAACATGAGCAGGACCATATTTTATCTATGAAATCAAAAAAAAAAAGATTTTGTTGTAAAATATATTTGAATTTTAAACTAACAGTGCGATTAGTAATCCAAAACATCTATCCAAAAGCGCTGACTCATTACTGATTCATCGCTATTGGGCGCTGATAAAAATTAAACTTTTCTGCGCTGGATCATCGATGAGTCATCGCTGATTCATCTCTGAAAACTTCAGTTATGAAAAACAATGAATGAGCGATGAAAATCGATGTTAGTTCAACCAGGGGTTAGCATCTGGTTACGTATTGATAAGAACAAATTGCTTGATTCAACTCAGTTGAATGATCCAATTTTGCACGTTTTAATAGGACGAAATTTATTCCGGATAAAAAAACTAACAAAACTTGAAATTTCGATCACATTTTTCTCAAATTGGGTTAAGATTAGACAAAAAGTGGAGAGAACATTAGTTGCTTAGATTTTCATCAGAATTTTTATTTTGTAATTTTTTCTACACAATTTTTCGAAATTTTTCTCCAAAAAATTTTACACCAAAAATGGGTCATTTTGTCTTTCTTCAATTAACAAAGAATTATGCTGAAACTACATTGTTAACATACGATGAATTTTTATCAACATAGGTTTGCTACAGAGCCCAAAAAAGTTTTGGGAAGGTTAAACCGTATAAGAAAAAATATTTTGATTGATAGTCAAGAAATGTAATTTTTACAAAATAAAACCCAAAATCTTTGCTTAAAAACAAATTTTAAGCAATTCACTCATGTTTTTGAAGATGTAATTTTTCAGGAACTTTGTTAGCTCTGTAAGAGGCTTTTTGTGATATATGTTTCGCATCAATGAACATTGTAGAGCTTAATTTTTGATTAATTAAAAAGCCAAAATGACCCATTTTTGGGGTTAAATTATGCTTGAAAATTTCGGAGAAAAAATTGCTCCACATTACTTCTGATAAACTTCTAACAAATCTTGTTCTCTTTTGTCTAAATTGGTCCAATTTGAGAAAAACGTGTTGTCCGTTTTGCCCGGATAATTTAAATCAGCACTGTATACCCGGGTTGACCAAAAATGCTTTTCAAAATTTTTCAAAAATGATTGTTTCTAAAATTTGAATTTTTTACTTACCAGACATTCATCAAGGCATACAAAAACATGTCATACAAAAGAAAGAAAAATTTTAAGCGCTTTTGAAAAAAATTATGAAGAAAAAAGGAAAAAAATCCAATATTAGCATATCCAGGACTACGTTATACACACAAAAAATTAAACTTTGAATGCAAAAGTTTTTTTTAAAAAGTGTTTGTTTGAGTACGAAAATCAATTTGCGGTTGAAAAAAAAAACACAAAAAAAATTTTTGTGGGCAATTTCAAAAATATTTTGAAAAATTTTTGTCGTCGCCATCAAAAAAATGCTAGTCATTCATTTTCCATATATGGAAATTGTATGATCAGCATTTTTTTTGAGAAAAAGTTTTTCTTTTTTATTTAGTACGATACACCGAATTTTATGCCAAAACAAGAGAAAAGTTTTTCAAAAATTCGACGACACCATTTTAGCAAAATGTATGAAATTTGCATGATTAGTATTTTTTCATAGAGTTAGTTTATGGAATTGTATGATTAGCATTTTTGGTCTATGGAGGTCAACCCGGGAATATATTGCAAACAACGTTGATGCAACGTGTTTTCACACGTATCGAATTACCATTCAATGTTGTTTTGCACTTTCCTCCAGGCAAGCTTTTGTTTTATTTGCAAGAAATAGTGGGTAAAACTGGACATCTTTTTGCATACATATTGATTCAAAACAGTGTAAAAATGCGAATTTCGTCGCTTAAGGTTTTCATATTTTGTATCGAAATTGCCTGTCCTCTTTGTCATAAGAAGGAATTTTTTTAACTGAAAATTTTTTAAGAAGTTGTTCAAAGATAAAAAGTAAGTTTATGCATTCTTTGTCACTATCTACGTAGCAATGTATTTATCTGCTGTGAGCGAGAAAAGAAAAATGAGTTTTTGACCAGAAAAAGTGCTTTTTAAATTTTATTTGAAGGCAAATAATTTTTCTTAAAGAAACCTTCAAAACTTGTCCTATAAACGCATTAACCAACAAATTTGCACATTTTTTGTCTGTATTTTTTGACAATCACGCGATTTATCCATCAAAACACTGAACAAATATTTCAACTTTATGGGATTCCATGCGTGCATAAAACAAATTTATCACAATTTTTATCAAAATTTTCAGTCTATGGTTCTTTCAAAATTGTTTCCAAATTTTTGTGCAAATTAACGCAAAATTTTTATGTTGTTTTTAAAAATGTTTTTAAAAAATTTGAAAAGTTTGCGGGCAGAGTTTAGCTATTCTGCATGAAAAAAGTAAGAAATCAGTCAGCCAGGAAGCCAGGGGTGATCTAGGTTTTCTCGAGGGGGGGGGGGTTGGATTTTCAAAAAAATTTTTTTGACCTTTTGTTTTTTAGGTCGACCAATTTGGTTTCCCAAGCTCACCGAAATAAAAAGATCCTAATTTGTCAAAAATTTTTCTTGCCGCAGGTGCCCAAAAAACGT